ATGTTTCTCTTATTGGTTGATGAATAAAACACTGTTTGGTCAATAGAGGCAGGAAGATAGGCAGGGCCAGGAGATGAGGAGAATTCTGGGAGAAGAGGCAGAGAGAAGCCGCCAGAGGGTCGCCATGTAGAGACCGGGAGGATAGGATGTGTCAGGTGTTCTCTAGTAAGATAAGGCCATATAGAAATACATAGATTAGTAGTTATGGGTTAATAATTAAGACAGAGCTAGCTGATAAAAAGCCCTAGCCATTGGCCAACAGTTTTATAATTAATATAGCGTCCATGTGTTTATTTGGGGCTAAATGGTGGCAGAACCTGGTGCGACAAGAAACCTGCCAGCTACAAGACACCCCTGGCTGACACAGGCCTGTCTCCTTTAGCTCTCCTATTGGCCCCCTAATAGGTGAAAAGGAAGCAGTACTCCAGGGTTGGTTCCCACAGTAGACAGATACGCTCAGGACAGGACAGCAGCTGACAGAGTACAGGTAGTCTGGGATAGGGCCGAGGACACAGAACAGGAACAGGACTCCGGGTGGAGTGAGACAGAGGGTCACCCGGCAGTGCTGGGCAGGCCACTCACCTGTCATGATTCCCACATAGCAGTAGCTATAGCTGAGTGTCTCCATCAAAGAGGGGACATCGGGCAGGAGGCCCAGGGTGGGCTCCTTGCTGAAGCCGGAGGCTATTTCCTTTCTCTGAGCCAGATGTAGGTCCTGGACCTCACTGGCCAGACTCACCAACTGCAGGAAGAGAGAGAGGGAGACATATGATCAGTGGCCATCTTCACACCCATTTCATTTCAGTCTATAGCTAGGGATGAGGTCCCACCTCATGGATGGCACTATATAGGCAGAGTATTCGAAGGGACCTCTAATTGGTGGCCTTCCCCAGGGCTCAGTAGTAGACCTTACTCTCTCTCTGTGTTTGTGTTTTTCTTTCTGCTTTCATCCAATTCCACAGCATACCTGCCCGGCTACCTTCATTACTGTACTTTTTGAAGAGAGGGGTGTTTTATTTTTTTGTTATCTCTAAATAGCCCTGGAAATCTCTATGTACACCAGCTGGCCTCAACTCAGAGATCTGCCTCTCTAGGATTCAAGGTATGTGCCACCATGCTCAGTTTGTGTTTTGTTTTGTTTTTTAAAGGCTGGGACAATGTCCATGAACCACCATACCCGACTTTGTTAAAAGGATCCTATCTCCTCTCATTCCATTCTACTTATCAAAGAGACAAATTTGGTGTATCCTGTCTCTTGGCTAACAAGCCAAAATCGAATAAGCGAAATAAAAAAAAACTTTCTTGCTGAGGGATCTCAGTGCCATTTAGGAGTAAGCTCCATCTTCACCACAGCCAACAAAGCCCTTTGTGGCCTGGCTTCTGCTGCCCATTCAACTGTATGTTATTCGGAAAGTGAACACGGTGAGCGTCATCTGCGGGACCCACCCCATTCCCATCTACATGCACAGGCCCACACACACCCCGAAAGTCTCTTCTTCCAGCTGACCAATCACCGCCGACTGTTGAGTTTGTCAATCAGAACAAAGAACTCTGGAGAAACCGGCTCTCCGCCTGGCAGGACTGTCCAGGCCTCTGTTGCTAGAGCCCAGAACCCAGCAAGAGCTCTCCACTGTTGTGGTCTGGGCTAGGAATTGAGGATCAGCCTCTCTCTGCCCTATTCCTATGTGATTAAGAGTCAGACTTGCCAGGTGGTGGTGGCACGCTCCTCTAACCCCAGCACTCAGGAGGCAAGAGGATCTCTGTGAGTTCAAGGCCAACATGGTCTACATATCCGGGACAGCCAGGACTACACAGAGAAGCCGTCTCAAAGAAACCTAGGGAAAAAACTGTTCAAAGTCATCTTTTCTTTGAGGCCAACACAGGGTACTACAACAGACTCTGTCCCAAGAACAAAGCAACAAAATGAGACCTGGTTGTCCCCACTGTGCCCTTGGGCCAGATACCTTCTCTCCACAGTGATATTTCCTCCTTGGAGGATTGAATGCTATAGACTCTAGAAGAGAATGTTGGCAAAGCATGCTGGGCAGGCATATTCCAGGTGTGCCAAGTGGCTTGTGATGGAGCACATGGGACATCTCCTTGCCCTGGAATGAGTGGAGAGGTGAAGACCGTCTCCAGAGTATGTGAGAGGTGAACTCTGTCCCCAGGGAGAGGTGAAGTTCCAAGTTTAGGGTTTGTGAAAGATAAAAGAAAAAAAAAAAAACCAAGCCAGGCAGTGGTGGCGCATGCCTTTAATCCTAGCACTCGGGAGGCAGTGGCAGGCGGATCTCTGTGAGTTCGAGACCAGCCTGGTCTACAAGAGCTAATTCCAGGACAGCCTCCAAAGCCACCGAGAAACCCCGTCTCAAAACACAACACTAACAACAACAAAAAACCCAAAGCCCTGTTGAGAAAGTCTGGTCTGGGAGGACAGAGCAAGGAGGCTGCCTGGCTGGCAGACAGGAAAACAGAGCAGTGTTTCCCAAGTCTCACCTTCAGGGTCAACAGCAGCTGCACAGCATTGGTAAAGGGCGTGGGAGTGGGCAGGCCCAGCAGGCTGAGGGCTCGGAAGAACAGAAGATACGAGAATGTCCACGCAAGAGCCAGGGCATGACAGGAGCTAGGACAGAGGTGGACAGTGTTGGGTACAGGGACCTCAGCCTCCACTTCCTTCTCCTGAGTGTGGCTTTCCACCCCACCCCCACCCCGATTCAGACAGAAAGAGGGGCGGGGGAGGACCGGTGGATGGCAGGCAGGGCCGGGAGAGGCACAGCCAGAGAGGAGAAGAGAATGAGGAGGGTTAAGAGAGAAGCTCTGTGGTGAAGACAGCTGAGCCCTCTGCAAGCTCCAGGGCTCAAGACCGGGTTAGGAGTGATTGGCCTGTAGGTATTGAGGACCGGGCATATCATAAGCAGGTTGACAAGAAGGTACGGAACAAGGTGGGGGAGGAAAAAAAAATGGCCAAGGAGTAGAGAAACTCGAGATAAACAAGAGGCGGCGAAAAGACCGGGAGAGAAGAAATGGAAGACCCGGACAGGAAACAGGTTGCCGTGTCTCTGCATCCTCTTTTCTTTCTGGCCACCTAGTTCTCACCAGGGCTGCGCCTGGATGAGGGCCCAGGTCCCCAAGATGGTAATCAGAGAATGCAAGGCGTGGGGGCCACAGGTGAACAAGGTGAGCCCCAGGCCCACGGCTGCCGCCCCCCATCTCTTCAGTCCGGGTCCTGAAAGGGAAAGGCAAAGTATGAGCATCGATCGAACCTTCGCGGGGGGTGATGATGCCCGCCTCGGCTCCCTCACCCCCAATTTTCCACTGGGCGCGGAACCTGACTCACCAGCTTTCTTAAAGAGGAAGCCGATGGGGATGGAGATAAGCAGGACCACTAGATACGTCCATTCTTCGGGTGTCATGGTCTGGGGGTGGAAGGGCTCCCAATGAGAACCAGTATTCCAGTCCCTTCCTCTTTTGAGAACAGAATCCCCCACTTTTGAGAACCCAGCCCCCCCAGCTCGCTCCTCCTTCCAGGACCCAGGAGTCAAGCCCCCACCGCAGCCCTCTGCCAATGTACAAATCAAAAGTACTTGTACCCCTATTTAAGACCCAGACATCTAGACACCTTCCGGTCCGGAAAACAATCCTTTGCAAGAGCCTTCTTCTCCGATAGCCCGGGAACCCTTTAGAATCCCGTCTGGATCCTCTGTCTCCCCTTGACCCAAGAACCCAGAACTTCCACCCCCATCCAGCCGGGAGGGATCCAGCACTTAGCACCCACCCACCGGTCCTCAGAGCTCCGGCGTCCTCTCCAACCCAGACCCCGGAGAGAAGGCAATGACCCCGTCTGATCTGCAGGCTCCCTCCTAAACCCAGCCCGGCGCAGCCCAGCGTGAATCCGATTCCGCCCCAGCAGATCCACAGGCGGTTACGCCACCCAGCCGGGTCACGCTCCGGCCGCTGATCCCACAACCCTGCCACCCTACGATCTCCAGTGACGCCTCCACACAACCCCACCCCGGGCCCACCTGAGTCGTCCGCCGGCCGGGAGGCTGCGGAGGAGAAGCCCTCTTTCGCCACCGCCTCTGCTCGGGCCACGCCTCCCCAGCTCAGCACGCCCCCGCACCGTTCGCTCCGGAGGGTGCCCGCAGGGCTTCCGCGGCCCAGGCCCAGAGATCGGCTGCAGTGCAGGACCCAGCGCCGGAGGAAAAGAGCCCAGGACGCCAGCGCGCCGCGCGAAGCCCCGCCGCGTTCTTTCTGGGAGGCCGCAGGGCAAAGAGCAGCCCGTACGTGAAGGGGCGGGGTTTCGAGGCAGAGGGGCGGGGCCAAGGCTTCCAGTCCGGAGGAAACGGGTTGAGACTTGAAAAGGGGGGCGGGGACCCGGAGCGCTGGCGTTCGGAAAGAGGCGGACCCCTCAGCTTCGGGTTCCTTCGGGCACCCTCGGGAGCTGGAGCGGACGGGCGTGGAGGTGGGGCCACGAGCTTCGGCTTACTTCGGAGGTAAAGCCGAGTTCTAAAAGCCACGGTTCGGAATTAGAGCAGTTCGCGAACTCGGCCGGGTGTGGGCGGAGCCCGCACGCTTCGGCGCGATTCGGAGGTAATCGGTTCCCGAAGCCTCCGTGTAGCCCTAGGCGAACGCCGCGCGATGTGGGCGGGGTCACCTGCGTCGGCCTACTTCGGAGATAGTCGGAGTCTGGCGGGGAGGGGCGGTGTCAAAGAACAGCGGGAATGTGGGCGGAGCCAAATGCTCGTGATTCCCCCCCACCCCGAATAGTTAAATATGTTTTAGCTCCCTGTTCTCGAAACATCCAGTCTTGTTTTTTTTTTTCTTTCGGGGTGGGGGAGTGGTAGGAGGAAGGCGGAGCCAGAGAAGACCGGAAAAAGGCGTGTCATTTGGAACGGGGCGGGGCCTACGAGACTGACGGGCACGGGGGTGGGGCCAAGAGCGATGACCCCCGCCCCCGCCCCGCTCCCACCCCCGCCCCTCAAGGTCCCACTTCTTTTGGAGACCGGGCGGCGGCGCGAGCTCGCCTCCGGTTTTCCGCTCCGCGGCTGACGTGACGGGGTGACGGAAGACGCGCTACGTAGAGCCGGGCCCCGCCTCTCCTGCGAGGGTCGGCGAGGGAAAGCCGGCTTGCTGCCTCCGACCGAGGACGGGTTGCCACGGCCTGAAGGGAGGCCGAGGCGTGCGCTGCGCCCGCCCGGGAGTGCGACCGAGAGGGGGGTCGATCGTGGGCGAGAACTCCCGAAACTGGGTAGGGAGTGGGCGGGGCCGCAGCTGGAGGACTGACCGGGCATCTGGCCACTCTGGAAGGGGGTGGCCGGTGCGACGGAGCCCCGGATCGCCGGAGGGCTGACAACGCTCGTGTTTTTCGGGGTGGGCCAGGGGCTCCGGGTTGAGCGCAGCCGAGGATGCCGGGACATCGAACGGGACCCCGGGGAGGGGGGTATCTTTTAGAAAGTCCCGGCTAAGGGGGACCAGGCGGGAGAGGGAAATTCGAAACGGGCGGGGCCGGGCTCCCCAGTTTCTAGAGGAGGGTGTGGCGGCTCGAGCGAACTGCCCACTCAGAGGCGTCCGGGGGCCTGGACGGACACGCCCGGGGGAAGACGCCCGCTTTGCGCAGAGGACGGTGCGCCGCCGTGGCGGCTGGTCTCCCTGCGGAGACGTGACGCGCTGGCACGCGTTGGCAGGGATGACGGCCACCGGGAGCTGGGCTGGGCAGAGCGGGGCAGGAGCAGCGGGACCTGGGCGAGGGGCGTGGTCTCAGCAGTCCTTCCGGGTGGGGCTTGGCCTGGGGCGCAGGTGGCATTCGCTCCGCCCCCTCGGGTTCAGGGGCGGGGCCTCGCTTGCTGGAGGGGGGCGGCGCGGGAGCGGGGGGGGGAGTGTGCGGCGTGGAAGGCTTCGGTCGGCTCCGCGGGGCTGTCTGGGTGACCGACGGCCGCCCCACTTTGCAGGAGGATGCTGGTGGTGGAGGTTGCTAATGGCCGCTCGCTGGTGTGGGGAGCTGAGGCGGTGCAGGCGCTGCGGGAGCGCCTGGGAGTCGGGGGCCGCACGGTGGGAGCCCTGCCCCGCGGGCCCCGCCAGAACTCGCGCCTGGGCCTCCCGCTTCTGCTGCTACCCGAGGAAGCCCGGCTCCTGGCCGAGATTGGTGCCGTGACGCTGGTCAGCGCCCCGCGCCCGGATCCCCGCAACCATGGCTTGGTAAGAAGCGAAAGGCCCCGGTGGTGGGGAGGCCTGGGAGGGCCTGTTCTGGAAGGATGCTGCTGGAAGGTCCGTAAACGGGGTCAGAGTTCCCTGTTTCCCTAAGGGATCGCACGCAGGCTCTGTCTTGCTTGGGGGTTTGCAGCTAAGTTTACTTCTCAGGCCTTAGCATCGTTCAAACGGCAGCAAGAGCAGAGCTTCCAGGAGCAGAGCACTTTGGCAGCCGAGGCCCGTGAGACCCGGCGTCAGGAGCTCCTAGAGAAGATCGTAGAGGGCCAGGCTGCCAAGAAGCAGAAGCTGGAGCAGGATGCAGGGGCAGATGAAGGCCAAGAAGCCGGTGGAAGCGAAGCCTCCCAAGGGAGTGAGACCAGTGATGCTGGCCGAAGCGAAGCCACCCAAGGGAGTGAGACCAGTGATGCTAGCCCGGCTACTGCGGAGCCGGAGGGAGCAGGTGAAGGTAAGGTTTGCAGTTCAGATGTGGGGCAGGAGGGAAGGAAGCTTTGGGGAATTTTAGTTGGGTGCTTTTTTCTGGGGATAAGCAGACCTTTTGCCTTGCGGGTTCAGTAAACTCTTCTCTGCACCCTCCCCAGACTCGTCATCTCCCCCAGAGTCTTCATCTCCCCAGCCAGGGCCTTCAAACGGGGTGACCCCCTTGCCCAGGTCAGCCCTGCTCATCCAGCTGGCCACCGCCAGGCCTCGGCCTGTAAAGGCTAAGCCTCTGGATTGGCGTGTGCAGTCCAAAGACTGGCCCCATGCTGGCCGCCCTGCCCACGAGCTTCGCTACAGCATCTACCGAGACCTGTGGGAGAGAGGCTTCTTCCTCAGCGCGGCTGGGAAGTTTGGGGGTGACTTCCTGGTCTATCCTGGTGAGTTCAGGTTGGGGCGCTAGTGGCTGTACCTTTCCCGATGGTCGTTATTTGTTCTGTGTTTTCTCTTTTTGTTGTATGCCCTGGGGACCCAGGGGACAGCAAGTAATGAGGGGGTTCTCCTGAGCTCGAGGAGAGTGGTTCAGTAACTTGTTCTGAGACGGGGTCTCAATGTCACCAAGACAAGCTTGGGATTTGCTATGCTGCACAGGCTAGCCTTGGAATGCAGTCTTCCTCTCTCTACGTCCCAAGTGCTGGGATTCAAGGCCTGTGTTACAACAGCTGCCTCGGTTTACTAATTTCTCGTAAATACTGTCTGTGATCTACAAGATGGGCTTAGAAATCCTTACCAGTGTGCACAAAACATGAGCACATATACTGCAAGATTCTTTATACAATTGAAAGATTAAAAGCAGCAAAGTCGCCGTGTGGTGGTGGCGCACACCTTTAATCCCAGCACTCGAGAGGCAGAGGCAGGTGGATCGCTAGACCAAGCCTGGTCTACCAAGCGAGTTCCAGGACAGGCTCCAAAACAATACAGAGAAACCCTGACTCAAAAAGCAAAAACAAACAAACAAACAAAAAAACAAATTAAGACAAAACACAGCAATTAAGACAGAAAGGTGGTCCCTTCTTTTAATCAAGCTCTGGTGAGGCAGGTGTGTCTCTGAGTTCTAGGCCAGCCAGGAGACAGTCTCAAAACAACAAGAAAAAACGCATCCAAAAAACTAAAAACCAGTAGTCTGAGAAACACAGCATTAGCTATCAAAGAATTAATGTGTAGGGTTATAGTTGGGTATGGTGAGACATGTCTCTAATGATAAGTGCAGTCATAGCCAGTTTGAGACTAGCTTTGGCTGCGTGGTACCCCATCTCAATAAAGAAAAAAAATGGGGTGTGATGGTTATACCTATAATCTTAGCACTTTAGAGTCTGAGACAGGAAGATTGCCACAAGTTTGAGACCTATATAGGCTGTATAGTGACTTCAGGCCAGACCCTGTCTGGAAAAAAAAGTAAAAAAAAAAAAAAAGTAGGGTCATGTATGTGAAAAAACACAATCAAAAGTGAAAAAAAATGACAGGTGGTTGAGAATATATGGTAGGTTATATGTTGATATAGATATGCAGATGCATACATGCCATTTAAGTAGCCTTGATTGTCGAAGTTTTAGCTAGGTCCGAGTACGATGATATGTGCCTGTATCCCCAGCTACTTAGGAAACTGCAGCAGAGTTTCTTGGACCTGGAATTTAAAAACCAACCTGTGCAACATACGTAGTGAGTGAGACTCCTGTTCCTAGACAGAACTGCTGCAGCTTAAAATAACTAGTTTACGTCAGTTAGTTACCTAATTCTATACCTTCTTGTTTTTGAGATAGGGGCATTGTATATAGCTCTGGCTGTCTCTGTAGACCGGGGTAAACTAGAACTCATAGAGCCTGCTTCCCAAGTGCTCAGATTAAAGGCTTGTATCACCATGCCTGGCATTCTCACAATTTTTTAAGATAAGGTCTACTATGTAACCCTGGGTGGCCTCAGACTCAAAGAGATCTGCCTGGGAATCAAAGGTATCCGCTACCATACCAGGACTTCTTTTCTTTTTTTAATGCAAAGTCTCAGTATCGAATCCCAACCGGATGTCCAGTTTACCACAGTTGGAAGCAATCTTCTTGCCTCGGCCTTCTAGGATTAGCCGGGCTGTGGTGGTGGTGGTGGTGCCGCCGTCGCCACATGCCTTTAATCCTAGCACTCGGGAGGCCGAGGCAGGCGGATCTCTGTGAGTTCGATTCCAGCCTGGTCTACAAGAGCTAGTTCCAGGACAGAGCCTCCAAAGCAATACAGAGAAACCCGGTCTTGAAAAAAAAAAAAAAAAGAGTTAGGATTGACAAATCCACCACATCCAGCTCTAATTGAACTGAATTGAACCCATAAGGTAAACTTTTTGTTTTTTCCTGCCTCTCTTCTTTCCTTTGACAGGGTAGTGCATGTAACCCTGGCTGGCCTCAAATGTGGGCGTGCTGGGGTGATTAAAATGCACGAGCATTCAGGCCTGGCACTGACCAATTAGTTCTGCTAGGGCAATATTTCTAAAACACGGGACACTGAGAGAATCCTTGTGTCCTGTGAAATAGTGTCCAATGGCCTCGATCACTGTTAACATTTATTTTTAAATTTTGCCTGAGGCTCAAAAGTTCCTAAGCCTCCAGGAAAACAGTTACAGGATTAGTTACTCCAGCATTTTGATGTGCCCTCTTAGCTGGCTGCGGCCTTAACAGCCAGATGCTCTCGCTTCTGGCGAGGCTCTTGCCAGGAACCCAGCTGCCAAGCCGGGACTCAGCAAACAATCCCCTAGAATGCTACACAGTCTCGTGGCTTAGATCCCCACCCCCAAAGATTTTTACCTGTGTTAGTACGTGTGCATGTGTGTGGCTGCACAGGGAGACTAGAAGATAGCACTGGCTTCTCCTGGAGCTGGACTTGAGGCCATTACGAGCTCAGTGCGAATACTAGGAACCGAGCTCGGGGCCTCCGGAAGAGTGGTAGGCGCTCTTAGTCACAGAGCCACCTCTCCAGCTCTCCGTTTTAAATTTCCCTTGCCTGCGATCCACCCCCTGTACAGTCGCCTTCAGATTCCTGGCCCGCTAACTTAGATCCACCTCTCCCAGGGACAGACTGTCAGCTGTTCAGTGACTAAAGCCATCAGAGGGCCTCCGCTTATGTAACCTGTGACTGCTGTGCTATGCTGGCAGAACTGAGTATTTGTAACAAGGCCCACAAAACTAACCATGTTTACCGACTGGCTCTTTTTTTTTTTTTTTTTTTTGGTGGGAGGGTCCTATTGACAGTTTAGTTGTCTTCCTTCCTTAATTCCTTCCTTCCTTCCTTCCTCCTTTCTTTCTCTTTTCTAGACAGGGTTTTTCTGTGTAGCCTTGGCTGTCCTGGAACTTGCCCTGTAGACCAGGCTGGCCTGGAACTCAAAGAGAGGTCCACCTGCCTCTGCCTCCTAAGTGTTGGGATTAGCATGGAACTTTCCTTTTTTTTTTGGTTTTTCGAGACAGGGTTTCTCTGTGGCTTTGGAGGGAACTTTCCATTTTTGCTCTATCGTATTATATAAAATCTATTCGTCTTTGGTCTACTAAAGTCTCAGGTGGGTTGTTTTTGTTTTGTAGCTGCGGTGTTAGGGATCCATCAGTGGGCTACTGATGAGCTACATACCAGCACTTGTGGCTTATCTTTTTTTTTTTTTTAAAGATTTTATTTATTTATTATGAATACAACATCCTGCCTCTACATATGTCTGCACGCCAGGAGAGGGCACCAGATCTCATTACGGATGGTTGTGAGCCACCATGTGGTTGCTGGGAATTGAACTCAGGACCTCTGGAAGAGTAGTCAGTGCTCTTAACCGCTGAGCCATCTCTCCAGCCCATGTGGCTTATCTTTTAATCCTGACTTTCTTTCTGTATGGTAAAATGTCTGTGTGGTGCCCAGGTTGTCCTTGAACTCCTAAGCTCAAGGAGTCCCCCGCCCAGCCTAAGCCTCCTAAGTGCTTGAGGTTACAAGCCTGTCTCACCATATCTTCTAATCATGATAGTTGTGTACTGTTTAGTCTTATAGATGTCTCTTGTACCACGGAGGCAACCATTCTTTGCTTTCTCTCTCTCTTTAATTTATTTAATTGTATTGTATGTGCATTGGTGTGAAGGTGTCGGGTCCCCTGAAACTGGAGTTACAGACAGTTGTGAGCTGCTATGTGGTCCTGGGAATTGAACCTGGGTCCTCTGAAGAGCAGCCAGTGCTTATGACCACTGAGCCATCTCGCCAGTCCTCCTTTCTGTGCTTTCTATTCTGTTATTGGCAATTGTGAAGCCATTTGGGGCCATCAAAAGCAACCTGGGCCTGGCGTTGGTGGCACACGCCTTTAATCCCAGCACTCGGGAGGCAGAGGCAGGCGGAGGATCTCTGTGAGTTCGAGGCCAGCCTGGTCTACAGAGCGAGTTCCAGGACAGCCTCCAATGCCGCAGAGAAACCCTGTCTCGGAAAAAAAAAAAAAAAAGAAAAAAAAAAAGCAACCTGGGTCACATGAAACAGCTGTCACAAAAATTTTTTTTTCTAAAGAGGAGATCTGGGCCTGGAGAGATGGCTCAGAGGTTAAGAGCACTGGCTGCTCTTCCAGAGATCCTGAGTTCAATTCCCAGCAACCACATGGTGGCTCACAACCATCTGTAATAAGATCTGGTGCCCTTTGCTGGAGTGCAGACATACATGGAGGCAGGATGTTGTATTCATAATAAATAAATGAATCTTTAAAAATAAAAGAGAGAGACGATCCTTCAGAGTAGAGTAGCTGTGCCATGTGTGGTGATACATTACCACTTTTTTTTGGTTTTTTGAGACAGGGTTCTCTGTATTGTTTTGGAGGCTGTCCTGGAATTTGCTCTGTAGACCAGGCTGGTCTCGAACTCACAGAGATCCGCCTGCCTCTGCCTCCCGAGTGCTGGGATTAAAGGTGTGCACCACCACTGCCCGGCTGATACATACCACTTTGTATTCCCAGCACTCAAGAAACAATGGCAGGCAGATTTCTCTTGGTTTGAGGCTGACTTGGTCTATATAATGAGTTCCAGAACAGCCAAAGCTATATATAGAGAGAGAGCGAGATCTCGGGTCAAAAAAAAGTAGAGTAGCTGGGTCCAAGGGTATGTGTTTCAAAATATTAGGTATGTGCAGAATGTCCATGTAGCTCCTAATTCCAGCTACTCAGAGAGCTAGTAAGATAGGATGATGAGAATGCCAAGGTTAGGGTGAGTGTGGGCCATAGGGCAAGTTCAAGACTAGCATGGGCAATGTCTCTAAAAGTACAAAGAGGTGCCAGAGGATGACTCAATGGTGCTCTTGCAGAGGACACAAGCACTCACAAATTGACTCACAACCACCTGCAACCCCAGAGCTGTGGGACCTGGTGCCATCTTCTGGCATATACGGGCACCACGCACACACGGTACACATACATGCGTGCAGGCAAGCAAACACTCTTATACTTCAAATAAACAAGAAGAAAGCCGGAGAGTACTTCCCTAACCTGCACAAGGCGCCCACACCTAGCACCACAAAGGAACCGCAAACACGCAGCGAGCGGAGCGCCCCTGGTCGGGACTGCAGCTCCTGCAGGCGGGAAGTGCCACGCATCTGTCTCTGTCCCCCAGGTGACCCTCTGCGTTTCCATGCTCACTACATTGCTCAGTGCTGGGCTGCCGAAGACCCCATCCCACTTCAGGACCTGGTCTCTGCCGGCCGCCTGGGAACCAGTGTCAGAAAGACCCTGCTTCTCTGCTCCCCACAGCCTGACGGGAAGGTGGTCTACACCTCCCTGCAGTGGGCCAGCCTACAGTGAGCCGGAGAGTGAGGGGGTGTGGCTGTGGGCCCTAAGAACCTCCTGGATGGTCACCCCAGCTTGTCTCCACATGAAGGCTTGTGTCTCCCGCCCTGCCTGAATCCAGAGTTTTGAACACTACATTCTTTCTAGTTTCTCCCCCCCCACCCCGTTTTAAGGCACTTCCTGGCTGTGTTGTTTTGTATTTCTGTTTCCAAACTGTGAGCTTGTTCAGAGTTGAGACTGCTCTTATTTTATTTGGCTTTTCTGTTTTCTACTGGGCAGTTCTCAATAAATTTGCTGAATAAATGTTTGTATTTTGAGTCCTGACAACAGCCTTTGGAATGCAGAGCTTTTATTTCTATATTCAGATGAGAAAAGGGAAGAAGAAATGACTCGCCCAGGGTCACAAAACTATTGGGCCTGGGGCTTTATACTTAGCCTTTCTGATTCAGGAGTCTGCCTCTGTGTATCCCACTAAGTGGTGCCTTGAAGATTATTTTTTTATTATACTTATTGTATGTATGTATGTGGGCATGAATGTGTCATGGGACATATGCGGAGGACAAAAGACAAGTGTAAGAGAGCCTGGTCTTGCTTGCCTGATGGTGGTGGTATATGCAATTGGGAGGCAGAGGCAGATCTCTGTGAGTTCAAGGTCTCCAAAACAATACAGAGAAACCCTGTCTCGAAAATCAAAAGAAAAAAAAAGCCTGTTCTCGATTTTCCCCCCCCTTTTTGGTTTTTCAAGACAGAGTTTCTCTGTATTGTTTTGGAGGCTGTCCTGGAACTTGCTTTGCAGACCAGGCTGGCCTCGAACTCAACAGAGATCCAACTGCTTCTTCCTCCTGAGTGCTGGGATTAAAGGCGTGTGCCACCAACGCCCTTGAGATTTCTATAAACCATTTCAGTTGCATATAAAGGTTACAACTGAAAACTTTGATGAACTGGTTGTAATGGTGTGTACCAGTCCAGGAAGGCCTGCTAAAGAGGTAAAGGCAGGAGGATCATGAGTTTGAGGCCCGCTCGGGCTACACCTTTGGGGCCATAGAGACGGCTCAGTAGTTGAGCTTTTCCAAAGAACCTAAGTAAGTTCAGTTCCCAACACCGATATAGGACAGATCATAGTTGCCTGTTACTCCATCTTCAGGGAATTTGGTACCCTATTCCATCCTCCACAGGCAACCGCACGTACCCACGCATAAATACACATAATTAAAAACAAAGTTCCTTTAATCCCAGTGCTCAGGTAGGACAGGAGGGGGATCTTTGAGTTCAAGGCTAGTTTGGTCTGCATAGCAAGTGCCAGGCCAGCAGGGCCTGGCTCGGACAAATACGGATTGGGGAGATGAATAATAAGAGTACTTGGTGTTCTTGCAGGGGACCTGGGTTTGGGTCACAGCATACACAGGGCTCACAATCATCTGTAACTCCAGTTTCTGGGCATCTAAGCTCTTCTGGCCTTTGAAGGCACTAGGTGCACACATGAGACGTGTACTTATGCAAGCAAACCACCTGTGCACATTAAATCGTCTTTAAAAGTTAAAACTTGGGACTGGGAAGATGGCTCAGCCCTTAAGAGCCCTGGCTGCTCTTCCAGAGGACCCAAGTTCAATTCCAAGCACCCACATGGCAGCTCACAACTGTCACAAATCCAGGGGATTTGACACCGCCACAGTGTCAAAATACATACAGGCAAAATACCAATGCATATACATTAAAAAAAAACCTCAAATATTTGACACAGGAAGTAAACTTGTCTTTCTTCCTGTCCCTACCTGTCCCCTCCCCTCACTCTGTCCTCCCAGACTGAGCAAGATCCTTGCCTTCTGAGTATATAAATGCAAATGTAAATCCCTACCAGACAAACTGGTTAAAAGAAAAGAATACCTGATCTAGGCCTAGTGGTATAGGCCTGTCCTCTTAGCTACTCTGGGATAGAGGCAGGAACATCGAACCTATGAGTCTATGTAGTTTCACCTCAAAATAAATAAGTCGGGTGTGGTGGTGCACACTTTTAATCCCAGTACTTGGGAAGCAGAAGCAAGTGCATCTCTGAGTTCCAGGTCTGTCTGGTCCACATTGCCAGCTCCAGAGACAGGGAGGACTAAGTAGAAGGACCGGTCTTGGCAAGGTGGTGGAGGGACCCCAACCAAACGAAACAGAATATATCTGCCGGAAAATGGGTTGTAATCCCAGCACTTGGGAACTATAGGCAGGAGGATCATGAATTCATGGTCATTTGATGGGAAACCCTGTCTCAAAAAACAACAAATAAAATAGGAGAGACTTACAGGCCGAGATGATGGGGGTGGGTGCATTTTCTTATCTAAGAGTTCCTCTTTCCAGATACGTCTAGATTTGTGTCAAGCTGACAAACAACGAACAGGCACAGGATGCATATTTCAATATTATAAGCCCAGCACGGAGGCAGGCTCAGAGACCTAAAAATGCATCGGTAAGGCCCAAGACAGGGGGATAATTGTCACGACACTCAAGACATCGGTGGGTAGCCGTGGCCGCCGCCCTGGATTTCCTGCAAGCTTTTTCCCCAAGAGTCTTCGTTAAAGCCAAGAAATGGCAGTTGCAGTGCGTTGCTCGGCGTCCCTGCCGTAGCAGCGGCGGCTGCCCACGTTAATCCTTGGATTTGAACCAGGACGTCCGTCACCTCCGCCCTCCGGAGCCGCCTGTGAGCAGCGCACCGGTAAGTCCCGCCCCGGCGCCGCTCTGGCCCCACCTACCCCCCCCCACCTCCGCTCTACTGCCTTCCCGCTTCTGATTGGCGGGGCCGCGAGCCGTGCGCGGTGACGTCACGGCCGGGCGCCGTGGCTATAAAAGCCCGGTGCGACGGCCACGTTTCTCTTCGTCGCCGGCGTGAGTTGGCAGGTGAGCGTCGCGGGTGCGATCCGGTGGGCTTTCGGGGAGGTTAGCGGGGCCACCCGAGCGTTTACGGGCGCACAAAGCGAGAGGGAGGTGGCGGGACATTTAACTCCACAGCACGGCGGCGGGGACAGTCTCCAGTTCTCTAGGGCGGCTCTCGCGAGAGCCGAGCTGATGCCGGGCCGCGGCGTGCCGGCGTGGGCTTTTGCTGCGCGTGCGCCACGGCGTTTTTGTCTTTTTTTTTGTAAAAACCCCGACCCTTTGCGCAGGCGCGGCGGGCCCTGAGACGCCAGCATGCCAGTCGCCAGGAGTTGGGTTTGTCGCAAAACCTATGTCACCCCACGGAGGCCCTTCGAGAAGTCGCGTCTCGACCAGGAACTGAAGCTGATCGGTGAGTGGGTGGCCCAAGGTGGGAGTTTCAGATCGGGGATGGGGGGTCGGGGGAGGAGTTAGGAAGCCGTGAGGCCGGCCCTGCCACGTGCTCGCCCTGGGCGCCATCGCCGCTGGGGAGGTTGTGGGCTAGATTAGTTTCGTGCTGTGAAGGCACGAGTGTCGTGGTGACCCGTGGTCCTCCCCCCCCCACCCGCGTGCAGGAGAATATGGGCTCCGGAACAAGCGTGAGGTGTGGAGGGTCAAGTTTACCCTGGCCAAGATCCGCAAGGCCGCCCGGGAGCTGCTGACACTCGACGAAAAGGACCCGCGGCGTCTTTTTGAAGGTGTGCATGGGCCCATTTCCAAATAGTGGGTGGTGGCGTGTTTGTTGGGTGGCTGAGGTTTTAGGCTACACCGTGGTCCTGGGCGGTGTGACGATGAACAGGTTGGGCTACTGGGGAATATTTGATGTAGATTGGTCTTCAACTCTAGGATCTAGGAGTACTGGGTTTGAGCCACAACCCTTTGCTAGGGGGAATTAGTTTTGGAATTAGTTACGGGAGAATGGGAGCTGCAGGTATATGAGACTGCCTTTGATTTTCTTGAGCAGAAGTGGAAATTGTCAAGGCAGCCTCCCAGGGATCACTTTCGAATGAAACCGTCTAGCGACAGTTAGGAAGGAAAAGCCCTGGAGTTTTGAAGTTGGCACTATTTTGATTCAGATTTAGGCTTTGCCATGTGGTAGTCACTTGGTTGCCAGTCAAGATTTCAGATTAGAAACTTTAATACCAGTTTGTGCCACAAGGGGTCTATTTGAGTTAACATATAGAGTTCTTGGTCTGTCAGCTTTGGTCAAATGGAAGCCAGAGATTGTGCTTGACTAGTATTTATAAAACATAATAATTTAGGCCTGTATTTTACCATGCTGGAGTAAAATGGATGGTGCATGTTTTTCGGTTTGGTTTCTTTCTAGGGACTGGGCTTTCACAATTTTCTACCAAACTCCTTGAATAGATGAAAGTTTCTGTATATCTTGTTGGCCTGGTGCTGTGTAGTCTTATCTTTTGGTCTCTACCTAGTTTCCACGAGTACCATGATTCTTGTGGAAGCAGCATGTTACCTTAAGTTGCAAGTAAAAGTTCCCATTGTAGTGATGAAGGTTAAAAAGCTGTAAACCTATGGTATAATGCCTGCTATAAGGGTGATCCAGTGGCCATGTCTGTCAAAACCAGGAGCTCTTAAAGGAAGCTTATCTGCCCGGCGTTGGTGGTGCACGCCTTTAATGCCGGTACTTGGGAGGCAGAGGCAGGAGGATCTCTTGAGATCCAGCCTGGTCTACAGAGGAAGCTCCAGGACAACCTCCAAAGCAATATCTCGAAAAACCAAAAGTTTACCTTACCTATCATGAGGCACATCACTGTTTTCTCCTGTGCTCCTTGCAAAAATGGGTGTAGGCTGTAGTAACCTACCTTACCAGGCTTTGAGGGGAGGAAGTCTGAGGTCAGGTCTAACTTGGGTTACACTCCCATCCCCAGGCAATGCTCTGCTGAGGCGACTTGTTCGCATTGGGGTACTGGATGAGGGCAAGATGAAGCTGGATTACATCCTGGGCCTGAAGATTGAGGACTTCTTGGAGAGGCGGCTGCAGACCCAGGTCTTTAAGCTGGGCCTGGCTAAATCTATTCACCATGCCCGCGTGCTCATCCGCCAGCGTCATATCAGGTAAGCTACAGCGAGACCTGTAAGCCTTTCTTTGCTTTCCTACCTATGCTGTTGGCTTCCTTTGCTAAGCTGCCGTCCCTATCTCTTGTGTAGCCTTCGAAGCTGACAAATCTGAGCACCCTGAGGGTTCAGACTGAAAGCTTATGGGGGAATTGGGAAGCCTTGTCTCCCCATAGCCCAGCGCAAGCGTCACTGCGGCATAAGCCGTACACCTTGCGAAGTTTTCTGCCAGGCATGCGAGCAGCTGGACAGGTAATAGCTCCTGGTACCCTCTTGGAGGGAGAGGATTGAGTTGATGTTGTTGGGGTGGTAAACTTGTCATTGGAGCGTGGTGTTTGAGTTCCAATCCAGACCCTTACTGCTTTATTCCTATTAGTTAATTTGCCAGTTGATAGCCTGGCTGAAGTGACTGAGTGGGAAGTTTGTGTTCTGCAAATGAGCACTAGTCATAAGCCCTTTACAGGGAGGGTTCAGATTCTCGCTCACCAGCTTCCTCTCTGGGCAGAGATGCACTCTTGATGTCTGAGCTGTTTTGAGGCTTTGTACTCACAAAGAAGCATTTTTATGGGTTCTGTGGTTCCAAGGCTACCCATAAGACATCTATCTGGGCCTGTGGTCAATAGTGCCCATCAGCCTGCTGTCAAGGACAGGACCGAATGGTTCAACCTCTCCTCACCTTGTCCCTTTAACCTGTTCTTCCGTTCAGGGTCCGCAAGCAGGTGGTGAACATCCCGTCCTTCATTGTCCGCCTGGACTCCCAGAAGCACATTGACTTCTCCCTCCGCTCTCCTTACGGTGGTGGACGCCCAGGCCGCGTGAAGAGGAAGAACGCCAAGAAGGGCCAGGGTGGTGCTGGGGCTGGTGACGATGAGGAAGAGGATTAAGTCACTCCTCCCCAGACTGCAGAGTCATCCAGATTTCCAGTTGACTAATAAAACAGAATTAATTAACACTTGGTATACTGGTATGCCTCTGCTTTGAACATGGTCTCTGCATTGGGAAGAAGCCCTGCCAGATGTAGGCCAGGCTGCTACACAACTTGTTTGATAATGTTCCCAGGAGAGAAGCTTGGTTGACCAGATGCTTTGTTATTTGCTCTTTGGTCTTTGCTTAGTGGGTTATAATCAAAGGTTTCCAGTTGAGGTTAACTGGTTGTAACCTTCCAAGGTTTTGAAAGTTGTGTCTCAAGATGTGGTTTTGGTAGGAAGCAGGAAGGTGCCACGTAAGAAATTTTTAGCTGAGGTTTTGTACTCATGGTCAGGAGAGAGGGCTGACTTCCTCTTTCTATTTTGCCTTTCTGGGAAGCTTGAGTCAGATAGAGAGATGTGGTTTGATCTCTGAGGAAGTGAGAACCCACTTGAAATTGAAAAGCAACCGTCAGGGATAGCTGCTTTCCTACTCAGGTCAGGTCAGGTCAGCAACCTGCAAGAAGACTTACAGCCTGCCTAGAATCTTCTGGCAATGCAAGTGGCCTGGTCCTCGCCATCCATGATGGGTTGGAGTAAGCTCTGCAGGAACTTGGGTAGGTTGTAAGACAATTTCCAAAACAAATTAAGTGGCCTCTAACCAGCATGGGTTTATCACAGCTGAGAGTCGATGGTCAGTCTTAGGATCTCTGGACTGTGGAGGGCATGGGCCTTCAAGGCAGCTAGCTGGGCAGAGCACCTTACTGATGAGTAAACAGCAGTCAGAGCCCTTTGAAATACAGTAGTGGGGTGGGGGTAGCCTTGACTTGGGGTTTTTCTGTAGGAGACTGGTCTTACCCTGGTTATACTTAAGTCGAACAGATCTGCCAAGGAGTAGTTATAAATGCCTGTGATACGGAAAAGCTGGTGTAGTTTGTAGGGGCTAGAAAGGAGAGGCTTTGGTACTTTCAACAGAAACCAGGCTCCAGGCATACACCCCTGGGAGCTGCCATGGTGTAGGAACCCCCCATTGTTTAGTTGGCAGCGCACACCTTTAATCCCAGCCCTGGGAGGCATAGGTGGATGGATCTCTTTAAGTTCAATGCCAACCTGGTCTACAGGTTTCTCTGTGCCTCCAAAGCCACAGAGAAACCCTGTCTGGAAGAAGCAAAAAGTTGGTTTCACACAAAGGTTAGTGCGAGGGAGAAAGCCAAAAGGTGCTGTGCTGAGACCCTTCTGGAGCCCTGTAGTCCAGGATGCTGTAGAAGTGACTGGTCAGCAGAGGCGAGTCAGGTTACCCAGCATCCTTCTACAGACCAAAAGCAACCTGTGAGACTCCTCTCCCATCCTTGACGCCAGAAGCCACTTAAACCCTACCAAACACTCACATCGCCTGTCCACTCCATCTCCGCACAGCTGTTGGCAGTGGAATAGGTTTGAGCCAGTGATGGGAGGCAGGACTTGTGGGTACTTCTCAACAGGTTCTCATCCTTGGATTTGGTCTCAGTGAGTGCTATAGGAATTGGGAAGTCTTGCCTCCAGCTCACCCTGGAGCCTCCCTAGAGAACTGGAAAGATGATCTCCCCAATTTAGAATTCAAGAGGGAGCGTCCATAATAGCCTCGGTATGAAATTAAAACTACACCAATTTAGCTTCTCAATAAACCTAACCAAGGAGGCTAAAGATCTGCGGTGAGCGATGTTAATCTGAAGATTCAAAGTTAAAGAAGACAGATACGGTCTGCAAAATTGTACTGTGCAAGCATATGAACCTGTCCCACAGCACTCGTTAAACCTGGGTGCTTACAGCTGGGCATTGGTGGCGCACGCCTTTAATCCCAGCACTCGGGAGGCAGAGGCAGGTGGATCTCTGTGAGTTCGAGGCCAGCCTGGTCTACAAGAGCTAGTTCCAGGACAGCCTCCAAAAGCCTCGGAGAAACACTGCCTCGGGAAAAAAAAAAAAAAAAAAAAGCTGGGTGCTTACAGGGGTGGAGGGTGGGGAGAATGCACTCAAAGCATTTTATGTAAACTTAACAAGAAGTTTACACAGTGCTGGGGGAGGTAGAGGCAGGGAGATCCCTGGAGCTCAGTCACTGATCACCCAACCTACCCAGATTCATGCACTCTGGGTTCGGTGGGAAATCTTGTTTCTCTGGTCCTTCCCTCCAGAAAGACACAGAACCATTGATAAAGACATCCAGCATTGACCTGTGACCCCTCACGCACACATCACCCACATGCAGATTAGAGACAACAGAAAAAGGGAAAATTTTTCTCTATGTGAGTCAGCAGTGGGAAAAGGCTATGTGAACCGAAGCATTGTAGAGAGATTCAGAACAGTCCCCATGAAAACTTCAGGGACATTCTCCACAGAACTAGAACATCTCAAACTGGCTATGGTGATGGATAGCTCTCATCCCAACGTTTTGAAAGCCAATGACTCTGACGACAGTGTGCATATGAAATGACAGGTCAGTCAGCTACACGATGAGACTCAAAAAACACAAGCAGAGACCTAAACCTAAGATAATGTATGAAAAGACAAATGATGGCTTAGGTTATAAATCTAAAACCAGCATCATCATGGGCACAGAAAACAGCAGACGCTAGAAAAGGACTCAGAGCTGGGCAAGGTGACACAAGCCTGTGGACTAGACATTTAGCGGGTGGGGCAGGGTGGTCAGAAGTTCAAGTTCAGCAATAACTAAATAGCAAGTATGAGCCCAGCTGGCTACATTGTGTCTGGGTACATCAAGCAATGAAAGGAAGAGAAAGAAGATAATGAAGGATCAAGAAATAACCCAAGAACAGTCCTTGCCAGGCAAGGGCTGTTCCACTGAGCTGCATCCCCAGAACTTCTTTTACCCTTTATTTGGTGACTGTGTCTCACTAATTTGTCCAGAATGGCTTTGAACTCATTCTGCAGCTAAAGTGGATTTTGCATTTTATAGTGTCCTGCGTCAGCCTCCAAAGTAGCGGTGGTATCAGGACCATACCACCAGGCCCACCAATGTCTTTGAAGCCAGTATTAAAACAAAGAAACAACTGGGCGTTGGTGGCGCACGCCTTTGATCCCAGCACTCGGGAGGCAGAGGCAGGTGGATCTCTGTGAGTTCAAGGCCAGCCTGGTCTACAGAGCGAGTTCCAGGACAGCCTCCAAAACAATACAGAGAAACCCTGTCTCGAAAAACAAACAAACAAAAACAAAGAAACAAACAAAATTAAACAGTATTCAAAAAAAAAAAAAGGAAGACAGAAATGGGGGGAGGGGCAAAAAAGCCAAGTCAAACCAGCAGCGTGATTGTGACATCCTTAAAATTGTTACTGAACATTACTTTTCGGTTTTTGGTTTTGTTTTTTTTCAAGACAGGGTTTCTCTGGATTGTTTTGGAGGCTGTCCTGGAACTCGCTCTGTAGACCAGGCTGGCCTTGAACTCACAGAGATCCGCCTGCCTCTGCCTCCGGAGTGCTGGGATTAAAGGCGTGTGCCACCAACGCCTGGCTTACTTTTGTTTTTTGTTATTAATTTTCTTGTTTTTACATCCCGATCAAAGTTTCTCCCCCCTCCTCTCCTCTTAGTTCCTCACCCTCAAACTTGTCCATCCACTCCTCCTCCTCTGTTTCTCTTCAGAAAGTGGAGGGCCTCCCATGGATATCAGCAGCCATGGGACATCGAGTTGCAGGGACAGAGGGCACCTCCTTTCTCTCAAGGCTGGATGAGACAATCCAGTAGGAGTGTCCCAAAAGTAGGCCACAGAGTCAGACAGCCCCTGATCCCACTGTTAGACTGTCCCCAAGAAGACCAAGTTATGCAAATGTAATATACACGCAGAGGGTATAGGTCAGTCCCAAGTAGGCTCCCGAGTTGTTGGTTGATTAATTTTTTAAATGGATCCCATCTAGACTGATGAGAAAGAACTTTCTTCTTAGTTTTCTTTGTCAGGTTTTGCTGATAATTATTTTCTGATTTGATAAGCTATATGGAGTTATTTCCTCTTTCTCTAGTTTCATAAGGTCTTTATTTCAAACGCACAAACATCTGAAAAAAAACCACCAACTTCCAGGAAGAGAATTTCCAAAGGGGAACTTTTCTAATGACAGTTTGTTCAATGTGAGAGAAGTCGAGAAGCCACTCAGATTTTGTATTTAATTTTTTTCTTTTCTTTAAATAACATTTTTTCCATTTGTTTTACGTACCAACCATAGTTTTCCCTCCCAGATTTTGTATTTATTTATTTTTTTTTTGATTTTTCAAGACAGGGTTTCTCTGTGGCTTTGGAAGCTGTCCTAGTACTAGCTCTTGTAGACCAGGCTGGCCTCGAACTCACGGAGATCTGCCTGCCTCAGCCTCTCGAGGGCTGGGATTAAAGGTGTGAGCCACCAACGTCCGGCTCCAGATTTTGTATTTATTGAGCAATAAATAAATGTTTTATTGACATCAAGGAATATATCCATTTTATGTACAGGTCCTAATACGTTGGTATGAAATTGTTGATAGTGTTCTGCTGCTATTACATTATGAATGCATGTAGGAGGCTGGAGAGGTGGCCCTGTGGTTAAGGTATGTACCGCTCTAGCTCAGGACCCGAGTTCAGTTCCCAGCACCCACAGCACGTGGCTCACAAACACCTAAAACTCCAGCCTCAGGGTCCACTCTGGCCTCCATGGGCATCTGTATGTACATGGCATAAAACCACACAGACCCATACATATACATACATAAAACACAACAAACCTTTAAGAAAATAAAGCAAATACATGGTCGCAAATGCCAGCAACCAAGGCAGAAGGACAGCAAGTCTGAGGCCAGCCCTGTGGGGATTACAGGTCTACACCACCACACCCAGCTTTCATTTGTGATTATTTGTTTATTTAAAAATAATCTATTTAACTTTTGTTTTATGTGCATTGGTGTGAAATGTTAGATCCCTTGAAACTGCAGTTACAGATAATTATGAGCTACCATGTGGGTGCTGGGTATCGAACCCAAGACCTCTGGAAGAGCAGCCAATGCTCTCAAGCACTGAGCCATCTCTTCAGCCCCTATTAGTTTACTTTTAAAATTGTTTCATTTATTTGTTGGGTATAGAGTGGACACCAAGGACTTAGGTGGTCAGAGAACAATCAGTGGGAGTTTTCTTCATCCCCTATTGCTGCTGATATAACTTAGGTTATCAACTTGGTGACAGGTGCTTTACTGACTAAGCCATCTCACTGGCCCTATTTTATTATTTATTCTTCCAGACAAGGTTTCTCGATGTAGCCCTGGCTGTCCTGGAACTCAGTATTATCTCAGCTGGCATTGGAGATCTGCCTGTCTCTGCCTTCTAAGTGCTGAGACTGAAGTCATGCGCCACCATGCCTGGTCTATGTATTTATTGAAAACAGTGTCACGTGTGTTACAACCTGGCCTCTTACTCCTACGATGTGAGGGTGAAGATCACCTTGACTTCTTGATCCACCTGTCCAGGCCTCGAAAGTGCTAGAATTTCAGATGTGGCCTTTGGTGGCTGATACTGTTCAAAACAAGTCTCACTACTCATCCCAGGCCGGCATGAAATTAACTAGGTAGCCCAAGATGGCCATGAAACAAAAGAAATTCTCTACACTCAGCCTCCCATGGGTTGAGATTATGGATCTGTGCCTGAAATTTTTCTCATTTCATGGCTTTGATGAGTAATGTCATTAAATTCTTACTCAGTATAAAGCCTTCCCGTCTGCACCATTTCTCATTTCACTTGATTATTGACAAATCTGCTTTAATTCCAAAATATATGATGTTAGTAAAATGCAGCCAAGTTCACAGAGACCCTCAGAGGTGTCTGTAGGCAGGTAGAGGGTCATTGATCCTCATTATTGGGAACAGGACCTGGTCGAGCGACTGCCAGAGCAGCGTATACACTGGGCTCCTCTGTGGCTTCTCCTGCCTGGGAGGAAGGAGGTGCAGCTGTCCCCTGTCTGAGTGACCTGCTGCACAGCTGGGCATAGACCACATCTTGGGGCTCCTCAGATTCAGCAGCCTGGAGTGGGAGACAATGTTAAATATGTATATGCTTGACATGCTGGATGCTGAAGGCATGGGGAATACAGGACCAACCTGGGTGTCTGTCTCTCTGTCCTCTTCTGCTTGTTCATCATTTGTTTCTGGGACTTCTCTTGATGTGACAGAAGGATGGACAGCTTTTGTCTTCCTGAGCCTGGAGTCCTTCACCTGGGCATATGTCTCTCCCTGGGGGTCTTCCTCAGATGGTCTCTGTAGCAGGAAAAAAGTGAGGTATAGATAATGTCACCTTGTTCCTCTGTGACTTTCCCCTGGCCAGATTTCCACAACAAGGCCACAGTGACAGTTCAGATGACAGCATCCCTGATGGGAACTTCCGGGGCCTCCTTCCTACAGTTCTGGCCTCTCATCCTGACACTCTAAACATTGCTGTCTTAGCGGTACCCACAGAGTCCATCTTCATGAAAACCCATATCTGGGGCCTGAAGAGATGGCTCTGTAGTTAAGAGCACTGACTGCTATCGCATGGCACCAAGATTTGCTTCCCAGAACCCACATGACGACCTACATTCATCTATAACTCTAGTTCCATGGCATCTGACACTCTCTTCTGACCTCTGGGAGCATCATACAGGCATGCAGTACAGAGACAAAGTGCAGGGAAAACACCCTCCCCCAAAATAAAATACAAAACAAAACCACACGTGTTTCTGCCCAAGTTCCTTTGGTTCCTTTGCCTGCAGATGCTATTCTGTTAGACGTTTCTGTGGGCTTCTCCATCTGGGCTGCCCCTCAGATGACAACCAGACAGATGCCAAGGAGTCAGAAGCAGACAGCAGTGATGAGACCCATAATCCCAGGAACCCCAGGACAGAGTGAGGCCACTGCACACAGGAGCCAGGTTGGTGGAGAAGGGAGGGGTCAGCTATGGATGTTGTTGAGGGCCAAGCGAAGGAGAATGAAGAAGGCTGTCTGGACTAAAATGGGCCCTTAGTTCTTAGCACTGCAATTGGGACAGGGACCTCACCGAAGTGTCCATCTTGACCTCATCCTCAGGTTTCATGTCCTCCACTGAAGCATCTGTCATAGCAGAAACACAGAATGTCTCCTGACCAGAGTCTAGGGATGTCTCAGGTCTCAAGTTTCCTGCCTTACTAGAGTGGGGACAGGGAAGCAGGGAGTGTTGTAATGTCCCAGGGTTCATAGTGTGAGTTCAGACACAAACAGCAAAGACCTCAGAACCTCTTCACCACCCCTGCAATGCTGAGACCTCAGACTCCACCCCAGGACCCTCATTGTCTCACAAAGGCTTTCTTCCTGGATGGCAGCAGCTAGGTTGGATCTGGAAAGACAAGGAGGTGTTGGTTGGCAGTGAGTTGTGTCAGGAAGGTGGGGGTCTATGTCCCTGGCCATTAGTTACCTCTTCTTGCGGCCTCTGTCTCTGGTTACTGGCTCTGCGTCTCCTGCAGGAAGTTGCAATTCTGTCCCTTTCTGGGCTGCAAAAGAGATGAGTCTCAGCTAGTGGTGGTGGGGCCACCCCCAGGCATTTGCATGGAAGGAAGGAAGGGAACTTTACAACAGGGGTGAGTGAGCAAATGTCCCAGGACATGGTAAAGGTTACAGAACCCCTGATGTCACACAGGTTCTGAGATCACGTGCTTTCTGATCTGAGACATGCAAGTGTTTCTAGACTCCCCAGGCCCAGTTTGAGGAACCCATCCCCACCTGAGACCTAGGTCAACCACAGTGAACTCACCTTCCGTTTTGAACTTTCTCTGATGCCTTCGCCGGAGAAGGAGAAAGATGAGAATCAAGAGTAACAGGAGGAAGGCCACAGAGACTCCGATCAGAGCTTTCAGGTACTTTTCCAGACCTGAGGTACAAGGGACACCATGAGTAGGGACTGTTGATGCTTATCTAAGCACCTACTGTGTGACAGAACTATGGTGCACTCATCATCTGCCATCCTCACAATCATGCATCGAGCAATTGTCTCTTCTATCCCCAGAGTTCACCTGCCTCAGATCACCTGACTGGAAGTGGCAGAGCTGGGAGTTGAACCCAGGACTCTGACTTCCACCTCTTTTCTCTCCACCTGAGCTGAGCCTCAGGAGCTGGAGGGAAGGAGCAGGAATGACCTGCCATGATCCTGTGTCCCACCCTTGCCCATGTCACCACCAAGGTGGGACATTCCTACTGCAGACTCAGGATGTGCAGGACTCCTGTGTTATTAGAGCTGACATCCAAGGCCAGCACAGAAAGAAATTTATACAGATGGGCCAGGCCTCTCCCTTTATAGCCGGGGAAACAGCAGCCAGGTCAGAGTGGGAAGGACTTGTCCAAGTCAGCATCTCCAGAAGCTGCTGTTTCAAGCCCATAACTATTGCCCATCTGGGTACCACATCCAATAGGACTTTTACATAGGCTTCTCGTCCCTGAATCAATGAGGTGAGAGGTGTGTTCTCAGGACCCTAGAGGCAGATGGAGAGGTGAGTGTCTGGGATCCCTTCCCTCTCACTAAGTACCTGCTCCATCCTCCAGACTGAGCCAAAAGATCTCTCTCTGAGCACAATCTTCTGTAACCTAACCTCTGTGTCCTGGGCTTCTGGGGTCTCTGATGGGGTCTCTTTCCCTCCCACACTCACAAGCTGAAGTGACAGAGAATTCAGGACTTCAGTGGATGCCTGATACTTACCAGCTGTTGGCAAGGGACTTGAGGGTGGTGGGATGGAGGCTCCAATGTGACCTAGGAAACAGAACAAGAGTGGGTTAGGGATAGATGCTAATTCAGGAATCTGCCTCTGCCGTCTTTCCTAGATCTGACCTGTATCCTCCCCAAGATCCTCCTGCTGTCTACCCCAAACCTAGATTGCGATAGAGGAAGCAGTGCACAGTACTTGAGGGACCGTGCTCTCATCCATGTATCTGCAGGGAAACTGACTTCTGACTAATGCTTCCTATTGTCGCCTTAATCCCGACCAAGTCAAGGACTCTCCTAATGTTTGGTCTGTAAGTCACCCTGAGAGTTCAGGGTCACCTCACCTGTGACAGAGAGCTCCACAGGGAAACTGGCATGTGACAACATGTAGGGAGATGAGTCATGAGAACTATAGCACCTGTAGGTGCCTGAGTGGGCAGAGGTCACGGCACTCATGGAGAATTCTGCCTGGAGCTCCCCATCTTGTGACTTGGATTTCATTTTCTGGAGTTGGTGTGTTGCTCCCTCCTTGGACAGAATGAAAGTGTCAGCTGTGTATGTTGACTGACACAGCAGGGTCACGTTGTCTCCAGACTGCACTGTGGAGTTCGGCTTCACTGAGAGGGAAGGTCTGTCAAGATGCTGTCCTAAAGAGAACAGAGATAATGAGAGGCTGTCTCCAATGCTCTGATCCGAGACTTCACACAGGTCAGCTCTGAGCACCTGTGACTCTGTCTTTTCTCTGCCTTACCCTCTCTCCTGCTCTCTGTGTCTCCATCTCTTCCCAAATAAGATCCCTTTCCTCATCCCAGCCATCAGCTCTTAGGTCCACATGAGAACTCATGCAGAGCTTAGGTACCAGATTGAATCTATTTAGTTGCTCACCTATGATCAGGATGTCCACAGGGTCACTGGCGGCTGACCACTCAGAGGAGAGGTTGTGTGCACCATAGCATCTGTATTGACCTCCAGTAGAGTGGCTCACAGGGTCCAGTGTGAAGTTGGTCAAGGAGAGGCCAGACTGGGTCCTCTGGCCATAGAGCTGGGTGAAGTCTGTTTCTCCCACCTTGTACAGAACAAATCTGTCATAGTTGATGTCAGAGCAACACTGCAGGGTGAGGTTCTTTCCAGGGTCTAGGATATGACCTTGGTGAGTCAGCAGAGAGGGCTTCTTAGACAGGCCTAGAGGGAAGGTGACAGGCTGGTGATTGGGGACCTGGTTTCACAAGCACTGATCCCTGCCCGTCCTGTTCTGCACATGTCACTGCTTCTCCCCAGGTTTGGGGCTCTGGCTCAGCCACCAGACCCATCCTTTTTCACTCTGTCAGTCTTTACCTGCAACCAAACAGTGGGACAGGTCCATGGCAAAGGGATTGGGGTGTCAAAGAATGATTGGTCAGTGATGGGGCTTACTCACCTGAGATGTGTATTTCCACGGGCTCACTGGGTACTGACCACAGCTGTGGCTTTTGCTGGTAGTAACCATAGCATCGGAATGTCCCTGTGTGGTTGGGTGTTACATGATCTTTGGAGAACAAGGCTTGGTACTGCCCAATACTGGGATTGTAATGCGAGTTCAGGGAGCTGAGGAACTTCTGATCTTCCTTGGTGAGAATGAAGTTGTGATATCCTACCCATGAGACACACTGGAGAGTCATGTTCCCTCCTGAGGTCACTACAGGACTGGGCAGTGCTGTCAGGCGTGGTTTATAGTCATAGAGTCCTAGGAGGGAAGGAGCAGCCTGTTACATGGGCTCACTCAGTCACAGTGCTGTTCAGGGCTAGGCTTTGGGAGGGAACACTCCTGAGAGCAGAGCCTGGGGCTGGGACTCTGACTGTCCCCTCACCTGTTACCACCAGTTCCAGGATGTCACTGCGCTCTGACCAGCCAGCTGAGCTGTAACAGTAACAGTGATATTGCCCCCCACTGTAGTCTGCAACAGAAGGAATGGAGAATATGAACTTGTTCCCAGACTCCTTTGGAGTCTGTGTACCCCAGGATTGTTGGCTTCCCTCTTTATGCAGAAAGCACATTTCTGCATCCTGGGTTCCCTGACACGAGACGTTCATGGGGCTTCCTGAGGCGACCACAGTGCCTGACTCAGCCTTGATGGTGGGTTTGTGGAGGGTCCCTGCAAGGAAATAGGAGAGGAGGAGGTGGGTCTGTTTAAAAGTGACACAGGACAGAGAAAGTCACAGTTGCAGGAGGCACTTTTTTTTCTATGTAATTTGTTCTCCTTTCAGACAATATATCCTGGCAGCAGCCCCCTCACTTGCCCTCTCCCTGAGATCCGCCTCTCCTCTGTTTCCCTTCAGAACAGTTCAGGGTTTCCCCGGATATTAATGGAACATGACATAACAACATGCAGTAATATTCAAAACCTCTCCTATTAAGACTGGAGAAGGCAACCCAGTAGGAGGAAAAATGTCCCCTGTGTAGGCAAAAGAGTCAGAGACTTCCAGACTCCTATTGTTATGAGTCTAACTAAAAGGCTAGTCTGGCTGTGCTTGTGCATGCCTTTAATCCTAGTATGCAGGAGCCAAGCACAGGAAGATATGCGTGAGTTCAAGGCCAGCCTGGTCTACAGAGTGAGGTCAAGACACAGTGAACCTCAGAAAACAAAAATAAAAAGAACCCAGGGTAAATCAGCACAGCATGTGTGCAGAGGGCTTAGGGAAAACCCATGCCTGTGCCTTGATTGCTGCTTTAGTCTCTGGGAGCCCTCATGGTCCCGCTGAGTTTATCCTGAGTTCTGTGTTCTCCTGGTGTCCTGAGGGCTGTGTGGCACTTCCTTTCTGTCTGAGTTCTTGTAGATGTTATTTAATCTGATCCAGAGTAACAGAGGGATCCATGAAGATTCCTGTCTGTCCTGGACCTCCTAGACTCTGCTGTCACTGTGTCCCCTGGATTCTGTATACTGTGTCCCTCTGTCTACCACGATCTGTGTCTCTGGTCTCAGGAGCCCTGGCTCCTCACACACACACACACACACACACACACACACACACACACACACACTGAGACCACCCTCAGCACCTGTGTCATTTCAACATCATTCTAGGGAAAGGCTGGGGTTCCTCACCTGAGAACAGGAGCTCCAGGGGGTCACTAGGTTCTGACCACACCAGTGGTTGGTTACTGTCAAAGCTGTAACATCTGAATGTCCACCTTTGGTTGGAGGTCACAGGACCCACATGGTGCAGGGCATAGTACTGCTGAGTGTTATGGTCATACTTTGAGTCCAGTGTCCAGGATTGCTTCTGTGGTCCTTCCTTAGTCAGAATGAACTTGTGATACCATTGATTTGATTCACACCGCAGGTTGACTTTCCCTCCTTCAGTCACCACAGGGCTTGGCTGGGCTGAGAGTCTGGGTTTACTGTAGGCCCCTAATAGAGAAGGAGGAATCAGTTTAGTGTCCTCAAAGAACTCATTATCCTCCAGGGATGGAGGAGGAGTCATCCCTGTGTACAGAACCACTTCTTGACAGTGAAGCCTGATGCTGTGGACTGTGATTCCTCTCACCTGTCACCCCCAGCTTCAGGGAATTACTCTGCTGTGACCATCCTCCTCCATAGGTCCAATATTGACAGGTATATTGCCCTGCCTCTTGAGAGCTTATTTTTGAGATTGAGAATTCAGCCTTGTTCTTCGGATTTGGAGGAATCTCTTGGCGCCTGTATTTTCCATTTTTGTACAGACGATATCCTTGGGCTCCTGTGGTCCCCTCACATAAGAATGTCACTGTAGTCTGTACAGAGACCACAGAGTCTGGCTGTACACTGAGGATAGGTTTGAGAGTTCCTGCAAGGAAAAGATCAGCTAGGACGCCGGGCAGCCACCCTCAGATGGCAGCACCTGATCCCAACCCTCCTTCCTTCCCCAGGGTCACCACTCATGTGCTGGTTTCCATCCTCACTTCCAAGCCTGGCTCCAGGAATGATGAGAAGTGATGTCAGGACATCTGCAGACACTCACTCACTCACCTGCCAGCACTGGTGTCCCATGTCGCAGACTCAGTCCTGGAAGAGAGTTCCCTGTGAGAGGTTTGTCCCTGAAGCTTGAGAAGGTCCTCCCCTCTGCAGAACCTCCTGAGAGCCTGAGGTTTCCTAACTGAGCAGTGCTGGGCTGAGGGGTAGCATCAACCCCAGAGCACAGCGTCCCCTCCCCCTCTGCACATCTCACCCAGACAGAGCAGAGCTGTGAAGGTGAAGGTCATGGCATCTCTTCCTGGAGGCTGCAGCTGTGCTTGTGGACAGAGCTACAGAGACTGTCTAAGGGACAGGAGACACAGGGTGTGGCCTCTGGAGGCAGTGCCCTCCCTATGACAGGGTTGTACTTCAGCAGCCCCACAGGAAGGGGAACTGCCCTCCTCAGGCTCCAGGCTCTGGCTTCCCCAAGTCTGTGGCTAGGTCAGGCAGAAGTCTCCATCAGTATTTAGTGGATGTCATTTCTAAAATCCCATCAGGGTCTGTCTCCTTCATCCTCATCTTTGTCAGCACTGGGTGGTAGCAGGCACGAATGAATATTACACATAAAAAATACAAGTTTTCAGGTCGGCTTGCTTTTTTCCTGTTCATATTTTTTTATGTGATATACTTCTTCCCATTCAAAGTGTTTGAAGGTTTCTCTGAAGGGTCTCATTGCCCACATCTACATGGAATAACATGTATAATCCACTTCCTCACAGTCTCAAGTGCTGCCGTACAATTGTGAACTAGGGACTGGAGAGATGACTCTGAGGCTAAGAGCTGTGGCTTCTCCTCTAGAGCTCTTGTGATCAATTTGCAGCATGGTGATTCACAACCATCTATAATGAGATCTGGTGCCCTCTTCTGGTGTACAGGCGTACATCCAGGAAAACACTGTACATATTAGTAAATACATCTTTAAAAAACATATCACTTGTGCACACTTTTTGTATGTGTTTGTTCCTTTTTGATGTGTGTACTTTACAAGTTTAAATGACACTTATTTATTTACACATATTTCTTAAATTGCACTTATGTAACAATAATAAATTATGTTTATTATTTATTTTATTTTTTAAAATTTAAATAGCTTGCTTCACATGTCAATCCCAGTTCCCTCTCCCTCCCCTCCTCCCGGACACCCCCCATCCCCCCCAGCCTCCCACCCTTTCGCTACTTCCTTCCACATAGGGGATATCTAGAGTCTATCATTTCACTCAGGGCAGGATCCAGGCACTCCCCTAAGAGTCCAGGCTGAGAGAGCATTCCTCTTTGTGTTATGAACACACGAAGTCCATTTGTACACCAGGGATAAATACTGATCCATTGCCCAGGGCCCCATAGATTTAAAGCCTCCTCACTGACCATCACATTCAGGGGGTCTGGATCAGTCCCATGCTGCCCTCCCAGCTGTCGTTCTGGGGTCCAAGAGTTCTTCCTTGTTCAGATCAGCTGTCTCTGCTGGTTTTGCCAGCCCATTCTTTGCCAATTTGCTCGTCGCTCCATCTATCTGTGTCAATGGGTTCAGTTCAGTGTTTAGCTGTGGGTGTTTGCTTCTGCTTCCATCAGTCACTGGATGAGTGTTCTAGGATGGCTATAGACATAAAGTTCATTATCAGGAATGGACATTCAAGGTGGTCTCTCTACTATTGCTTAGCTTGCCAGTTGGTGTCATCCCTTTAAATCACTAGAGGTCTGACTGGTGCCAGATCTGTCTTCTAACCTGTGATTCCCTCTTCCTCCTATTCTACACCCCACTCAACCTTCCTGTTCACCCATGACCTACTCTCTCTTCCTCTTCTCCCCCTCTCTTCTTCTCAGCTTCCACTCCCCCCACAACCCTTGCCATGTCCCAAATCTGTTCAGAAGATCTTGCCTCATTCCTCTTCTCTTGGGTACCATGCATATCTCTCTAGGTTCTTTCTTGTTTCCCAGACTCTCTGTCAGTGGAAGTGCAGACTGGCACTATCCTGATCTAAGATCCATATATGAGTGAGTACATACCATGTTTGTCTTTTGGTGACTGGGTTACCTCACTCAGGATGGTTTCTTCTTAGTGCCATCCATTTACCTGCGAATTCCAGGAATCCATTGTTTTGTCTGCTGAGTAATACTCCAGTGTGTAAATGTAGCACATTTTCTCTATCCACTCTTCAGTTGAGGGACATCTAGGTTGCTTCCAAGTTCTGGCAATTACAAATAATGCTGCTATGAACATAGTGGAGCAGATGTCCTTGTTGTATGAACTTGCCTCTTTTGGATATATTCCTAGGAGTGGAATTGCTGGGTCTTGTGGTAGACTGATTCCATTTTCCTGAGGAATCTCCATACTGATTTCCAAAGTGGCTGAACGAGTTGGCACTCCCACCTGCAGTGGAGGAGTGTTCTCCTCTCTCCATATCCTCTCCAGCATAAATTGTGTTCGGAGTTTTTGATTTTAGCCATTCTGACAGGAGTAAGATGGTATCTCAGAGTTGTTTTGATTTGCATTTCCCTGATGGCTAAGGATGTTGAGCACTTTCTTAAGTGTCTGTTGGTCATTTTAGCCTCCCCTATTGAGAATTCTCTATGTAGTTCTGTAGCCCACTTTTTAATTGGATCCTTTGGTATTTTGGAGATTTGCTTCTTGAGTTCTTTGTAAATTTTGGATATCAGGCCTCTGTCAGATGTGGCGTTAGTGAATATCTTTTCCCTTTCTGTGGACTGCCTTTTTGTCTTGTTGACTGTGTCCTTTGCCTTACAGGAGCTTCTTAGTTTCAGGAGGTCTCATTTGTTAATTGTGGATCTCAGTGTCGGTGCCACTGGTGATATGTTCAGGAAGTGGTCTCCTGTACCAACTCTTTGAATATTATCACCCCCTTTCTTTTCTATGAGTTTAAGTGTGGTTCGATTTAAGTTGAGGTTTTGATCCATTTGGACTTAAATTTTGTGCAAGGTGACAGACATAGATCTATCTGCAGTCTTCTGCATGCCAATGCCCAGTTATGCCAAAACCATTTGTTAAAGATGCTTTCTTTTTTCTATTGTATAGTTTTAGCTATTTTGTCAAAAGTCAAGTGTTCATAGGTGTGTGGGTTAAAATCAGGGTTTTCATTTCGGTTCCATTGGTCTACCTGTCTATTTTTGTACCAATAATATGCTGTTTTTAGGACTATAGCTCTATAACAGACCTTGAAGTCAGGTATGGCGATGCCTCTTAAGTTCCTTTATTGTATAGGGTTGTTTTGGTTATCCTGGGCCTTTTGTTTTTCCATATAAAGTTGATTAATCTTCTTTCCAGGTCTGTTAAAAATTGTGCCAGAATTTTGATAGGGATTGCATTGAATCTGTAGACTACTTTTGGCAAGATTGCCATTTTTATTATGTTGATCCTACCAATCCAAGAGCATGGGTGATCTTTCCATTTTCTGGTATCCTCTTTGTTTCTTTCTTTAAAGACTCAAAGTTCGTGATATACAGGTCTTTCACTTCCTTGGTTAACATTATCTCCAGATATTTGATGCTGTTTATGGCTATTGTAAAGGGTGATGTTTCTCTAATTTCTTTGTCTGTCACTTCATCATCTATATATAATAGGGCCACTGATTTTTTTTGAGTTTGCCTTGTATCTGCCACTTTGCTTAAGGTGATTATCAGGTCTAGGAGTTCCCTTGTGGAGTTTTTCGGGTCACTTATGTAAACTATCATATCATATGCAAATATTGAAAGCTTGAATTCTTCTTTTACTATTTGTATCCCTTTATCTCCTTTTGTTGTCTTATTGCTGTAGCTAGAACTTCAAGTACAATTCTGAAGAGATATGGAGAGTGGACAGACTTGTCTTGTTCCTGATTTTAGAGGACTTGCTTTGAGTTTCTCTCCATTTAGTTTGATGTTAGCTGTTGGTTTTCTGTATATTGCTTTTATTATATTCAGGTATGCTCTTGTTATCCCTGATCTCTCTAGGACCTTTATCATGAAGGGGTGCTGGATTTTGTCAAAGGCTTTTTCAGCATCTAGTGAGATGATCATGTGGTTTTTCTTTCGCAGTTTGTTTATATGGTGGATTACATTGATAGATTTTCTAATGTTAAACCATCCCTTCATTCTTGGGATGAAGCCTACTTGATCATGTTGGATGATTTTTCTGATGTGTTCTTGAATCCGGTTTGCTAGTATTTTATTTAGTATTTTTCATTGATGTTCATGAGGGAAATTGGTCCATAGTTCTCTTTCTTAGTTGTGTCTTTGTGTGGCTTGGGTATCAAGGTAATTGTTGCCTCATAGAAAGAGTTTGGCAGTGAGCCTCCTTCTTCTATTGTGTGGAATAATTTGAGGAGTATTGCAATTAGCTCTTCTTTGAATTTCTGGTAGAATTCTGCACTGAAGCTATCTGGGCTTGGGCTTTTTTTTTTGGTTGGCAGACTTTTGATGACTGCTTCTATTTCATTAAGGGTTATAGGTCTGTTTAGATTGTTTTTCTGCTCTTGATTTAGTTTTGGAAGTGATATCTATCCTGGAAATTGTCAATTTCCTTTAAATATCGAATTTTGTGGAGTACAGGTTGTCAAAGTATGCCCTGATGATTTTCTGGCTTTTCTCAGTGTCCTTTGTTATGTCCCCCTTTTCATTTCTGATTTTGTTAATTAGCATGCTCTCTCTCTGCCTTTTGGTTAGTTTGGACAGAGGTTTGTCTATTTTGTTGACTTACTCAAAGAACCAACTCTTTGTTTCATTGATTCTTCTCAATGTTTTCCTGGTTTCTACTTGTTTGATTTCAGCCCTCAATTTGATTATTTCCTGGTGTCTGCTCCTTCTGCGTGAGTTTCCTTCTTTTTTTTCCTAGAACATTCAGCTGTGCTAATAGTTCTCTAGTGTGACTGTTCTCCAGTTTCTTCATGTGGGCACTTAATGCTATGTACTTTCCTCTCAACACTGCTTTCAGAGTGTCCCATAAGTTTGGTTATGTTGTGTCTTCATTCTCATTGAATTCCAGGAAGTCTTTAATTTCTTTTTTTATTTCTTCCTTTACCCAGGTATGGTGCAATTGTGCATTGTTCAATTTCCATGAGTTTGTAGTGTTTCTGCGATTTGTGTTACTGCTGAATTCTAATTTTAATGCATGATGGTCTGCTAAGATACAGGGGGTTATTCCAATTTTTTTGTATCTGTGGAGGTTTGCTATGTTTCCTATTATGTGGTCAATTTTAGAGAAGGTTCCATGTGGCGCTGCGAAGAAGGTATATCCCTTTGTATTTGGGTGGAATGTTCTATAGATGTCTGTTAAACCCAGTTGGGTCATAACTTCTATTAGTTCTTTTGTTTCTTTGTTAAGTTTCTGTCTGGAGGTCCTGTCT